TCGCCAGCACCGTAGTCGGCATCATCAGTGAGTCCTGCCATTATCTGCACCAAGCTATAAACTAGTCATAGACAAGTCAGTCCTACAAACGTTCTGCCGAAAAGGTTAAACTATCATTACTCTGTGCCCTGGCCCATTTATCTACACTTACCCTCTTATACAACTCCATAACTATCACAACTTCCACTCATCAAAAGGTGTGCCCTTTGTTGGCATATTTTATGTAAACTCATCACACCTGCTATTCACTATGGTCACCTCTCTATTAATTGGGTAATCCGACTCAGGCCTCTTATTGGAATATCCCTCATGGTCCCGTATATCCGTTCCTTATCATTTTGGTCGACCGACTTCACTCGGTTCCAGTCTAGTGTGTTTTACTCCAAACTCTATTTCTCAAATCCCTTAGATATTGCCTGCAGGGGTCGTCTTTTTGATTTAACCCGTGTTACCTGAGCAAACTGTGGAGGCCTATCCCTGGTCTCCTGTGGCATCAGATGAAATTTCTCTCTACGTATACAAGTCTCAGTTAGTTTTTGAATATAAATTTAGTTGAAATAATAATTAGCCGTATCCGTATGGTCGGGTCTCTTAAGGTTACAGAACTTAGGTGTGATACCATAACGCTTACAAAAGTTAGAAAAAGTCAGCTAGCAAGAAGGGGTCAGGATGAATTACATGTGATGAGGCAACACTAAATATGCAGAATAAGGGCACACATTATGACGAATGGAATGTAAACAAGTCAGAAGTTGTGATAGGGTGGGAGTTTGATAACAGGGTAAAGAGTTGATAGAGGGGCCAGCACAAAAAGATGAGTGATAGTGTTATCATTTTCAGGAGAACATTCGTCGAGGTATTGACTTGACTTGTCTCTGACGGGTTCGTAGCTTGGCGCGGAGAATGGCGAAATTCACTGATGCTGCCGACTACGATGCCGGCGAAACGTCTGATAATGTACCAAGTCCACGGTCTGATGATTGGAACTATCATAACTACTATGGCAGAGGACTTCGGACAAGGTGTGTTCTACTAATTCGCCCTGACAACAGTTTCGAAAACGAGGCCAACCCACTTCAGTAACATGGAAACTTTGAAAATGACAGCTTATGAAATCTCAGCATCTTTGACGGCCATCTCAAGTTTTACATTAAATTTGAGCTCAATAATTATATCTTCGTTAGATCTTACTCACATATCCATTGAATGAGCCTGAAAGGCGGCTGATCTTGATCCATATACTTTTAAACCTAGTAATTAATCTTTGTAACGCAGAAAGTGGCCTTGGGTCTGCTCGCAGTAGCCTTTAGCTATTTAGTTAATATCTATGAACTTAAATAGAATATTCCTTATGGCAGGGTCTCTTAAAGTAAAAGAATAAAAGGCTAGACGCCCTGTTCGATGAGGCGGCAGTTTACGTGCTTCTAAGTCCTTGAGAAATAGCGGCTGGAATAGACCCCACACTGAAACTGAAACCGTGTGAAATCGGTGGACTATAAAGATAAAAAACGGATCTACGGGACCATGAGGGATATCCGGATAAAAGACCTAGGTCGGATTAGCCGATCGAAAGATAGGGGGCCAAAATAAATGGCAGCTGTGATGCCGCACTAAACTTGTCAGAAAAAGGTAACACCTTTGGCAAGTCGAATGTAAACAAGTCAGAAGTTGTGGTAAGGCGGGAGTTAGATAAGAGGATGAGTAGATAAATGGACCAGGACAGAAAGAATGATAGTGTAACCGTTTCAGCAGAACGTTTGTTGAAGGATTGACTTCACTTGTCTATTTTATGAGTTTGTAGCATTATGCGTAAAAAGCTAAGTCTCACTGATACTGCCGACTACGACCCTGGCGAAACGTCTGAGCATGTACTAAGTCCACGATCTGATGCTGCAAATTATTATAACTACTATATCAGAGAACTTCGGACAAGGTGTGTTCAACTAAGTCACCCTAACAATAATAAAAAGTTGCGGAAACGAAGTCAATTCACTTCTTTAGATATACCATTTTTTATTTGAGTTAGATGGATCTTATTATGTATAATTATTTGAATGACTATCATTTAGTGTGAATTTAAAGAGATTAGTATGCCGATTTCATCTGAGGCTCATACGCATATACAAATTATATTAATAAAACAATTATATATATCTTAGAATTCATTTAGGTGTGACATATAGCATGTAGGAGTAAGGTGGTTACTTTTACTAATTTAAAGTTGTTTTGATTTGTTTTAATAATGATTTGGAACTATGAGGATATCTACCACATAAAAGAAGGCATAATTCGTTTTCACTAAATCCTCAGTATGATGTATCGGATATTGCAACAGATTGAACGCCCAAAAGAATTAGGATATAGCAAACCACATAAAAGTCACTATGACAAAACCGATAAATGACTTTATTTACCACTCACACAAACTTCACACTTTTTCCTATTGTAAATTGTAGATGCCATGATAAAAACTGGGCTTAAAAATACAACAGGCTACTTACCAATCTTATTCGTTTAGCCTTCGATGCGCTATTGGGTGGTGACCGGGCGGAAATGTCTCTCAGAGGTTTTACCAATTCCAATCTAGAGGCGTGAAAAAGAATGAATGTAAGACATTGGCACCAAGCGGTTATCTGCAATGACACGGGAAATTGATTGAGCATATCTATTAATTGCTTTCGTTGAACAATATTCTGTAGCTCTTTTTCTTCTGTATTCGAAGTGTCGGGATCGACTAGTTGAACAATAAAGTCGCTTTCATCTAATAGAAGAGAAAATAATATAATTTGGCAAATGCATAGATTATATCAGACAGAAAAAATTATGCATCCATCTCAGACTAATGTGGACAAACAACTCTGGCTAAATGTATGAAGACAAAAATATAAGGAAAAGTTAAGTCTCACCGCTTAATTTTGTGTCATTAACATTTTCTCGATTCCCTTTTTTCTCATTCTGATCGTAGTCCAGTATTTCAAGATAGTGACGCACACGGACTAAAATACAAACCCATAACCACGTGGTAGTCTCGCCAAAACTTTTCTCGCCTTCATCGAAGGCACTAGATCCCGCTATTGATGCTGGAGTATCATTTCTAAAAGGACAGCAGCTGGGCCCTGCCGAAGCAAGACCCCGAATTAGACCAACCCATAGAGCCAGGCGGCGCATAGAGAGCCTTTGGGAGCGTTCGCTGGTTAATTCACAAATAGCCCCAATTCCGGTGCCTGAGGCGGTGATAGTCGCGGAGTCGATGTGGCTGAGGCAAGGTGTAAGGTTAACAAGCGTTTGAAAGCCAGCTAGAGGCCCGGCGAGAGGCTTTGAACTGCCGATAGGGAATGCAGAGCCTGACGACCATTCCGAGGAAACGGTTGCCCGTAGGAGACTTGGTATCGTTGAAGAAAGTAGCCGGCCCAAAAGAGCTAGATTATGAACGTCATCAAGGTGAAGTAAGGAGCCAGATGAGTCTTTGAATGTTACTGTGTTACCAATCCAACGCGTTAGGCTGATGAGGCGATTACATAGGGCAGTCTAAAGGATGAACAAGAAAAATATGTAATGAAAATATGGGTTTGTGGATTGAATTACAATTAAGAAAACGTAGGAAAAGCCAAAGTATATCATCGAACTCCTAGAGCATCATTTAGCCATTAAACTTCTATACGTTTGTAACGTCTTTGCATTTACTAGGAGACTTCATAG